TCTATCAATATTCGTCAATATTGCGCTCACATTTATAACATAATGATTCATTTCACCTATACGAACAAATAGTACAAAATCTAAATATGACATAACACAGATACATTATAATTATTATGTAATCAACTCTCGGTTTCAACTTAAACAAAGCTAATTAGTGTTGAGAAAAGCACAATCCATGGTACTTAATTATTCTCTCACTGCATCACACATTTAATTTTCTTTTCATGTTATTAACAAAATTAATCATCTCCATATATGATTTGATTTGTGGCAAAGTGGTAGCTCTACAGCGGTTGTGATCACCTTATATGTCTCAGACACTACACTTTGTCACACATGCGAAAGGCAAAGGTGCATACGTGTATTGTGCAGTGGGCAAAAAGAGAATTTCGGACGCTTTATTTATTAGCAAACAATAGATCCGATGATTATAATAATAAGTCCACCAGTTCTAGTGTAAGTTAAATTAGTTAATATAGATTTTAAATTGTTAATTTAATGGGTACACAATATAGTGGTGTAGACCTTATTTTGAAACAGTGAATAATAGACCAAGGTAATGAAAAGTAGATCTGATGATTTATGTAATGGGGCCATCAATTTATGTGCATGTATAAATTAATTAATATAGATATTGTTTATTTAATAGGTACATATCAACATAATTTATTTTAAAATAGTGCATTATTTGAAAGGAAGATTCTTTGTTATATGATGGTAGATTCTTTGTTTTGTAAAATTATGATTATTTAAAAAATATATCCATTATATATATATATATATATATATATATATATATATATATATATATATATATATGTAAAAAGGAAAAAAAGGAAAAGAAAGGAAGCATACATACATGTACGTACGTATATACTCCACCTGCCACCTGCCAACGCGCGGGAGGAGGATAGGTGGGACCCATGATATTTAGTTTGTTTTAAGATCGATTTATCTAACGGTGTATAATATTGGACTCACCAATTTAAGTAAAAATCAAGGGGTAGATGTTTTTTTTTCTTAGAATTTCTAGGATTTTCTCTATTTTATTAGAGCATCACTTGGCGGCTTGAGTGCGTTTAATAGGTAAATGTGTAAAATTTATTTTAAAATAGTGCAATATTTGAAAGGAAGTTTCTTTGTTATATGATGGTAGATTCTTTATTTTGTAAAATTATGATTATTTAAAAAAATATCCATTATATATATATACATATATATATACATATATATATATATATGTATATATACATATATATATATATATGTATACATATATATATATATATATGTATACATATATATATATATATACATATACATATATATATATATACATATACATATATATATATATATACATATATATATATGGAAAAAAGAAAAAAAAGGAAAAAAAAGGAAAAGAAAGGAAGGAAGCATACGTACATGTACGTATGAACCTGCCACCTGCCAACGCACAGGAGGAGGATAGGTGGGATCCATAGTATTTAGTTTGTTTTAAGATCAATTTTATCTAATGGTGTATAATATAGGACCCACCAATTTAAGTGAAAATCAAGGGGTAGATTTTTTGCTTTTTTCTTAGAATTTCTAGGATTTTCTCTATTTTATTAGAGCGCCATTTGGCGGCTTAAGAGCGTTTGTAGGAAGTCTCATGGACTTTTAGTATATAATAGATAGATAGATAGATAGATAGATAGATAGATAGAAGATAGATAGATAGATAGATAGATAGATAGATAGATAGCCAGATTTTGTTTGGTTACTGGTAGTACTTAGTACCTCGAGAGGTACAACAAACCTCACTATCACGAGTTGTTGGATCAAACCATAACATGGATATTGTGTAGCTCAACGTCCCACCACTAGACGTTGTTGTGTAAAGTATCCATGGCTGGCCGGACACCCTACTAAATAGCGTCCTTCCTAATTTTCTAATTCCCTCCCTCGATTTACTTATTTTTATTCATGCATCATTGATTACTACAAATAAAAACTCAGTTTTCCTTAGAAATTGCAAGAAAAAACACAAAAATATATTAGAGAACGACTCAAAGGAAAATATCCATTACGTTATACCTCTTTCTAACTTTTCTTCAGTATCTACATGAATTTAGTCATTCCTAAGGAATTAATTTGATAGGATTTGAAAATATCCAACCCTTTGCTTTTAAGTAGCAAATTATTTTTTTGAATAGAAGGGCAGGATGACTCACTACAAGAAATATGACCTTCTGTGATGAATTCCTCATGACATCGGAGCTACTCATCATTAGCACATTCCATTTTATGACGATTAGTATGAGATGGGGTGGCTTAGTGACGAAAAAAAGGTGTTCGTCGTTAAATACCAACTAGAAATCGTCATTGTGACAAATATTAATTTGTCATAAGGGGCAAAAAGCAAACGTTACGGATTTATATATGCATTTCTAGAATTAATAAAAAAACTAAAATTTTCCTTTAAAAGTCATGGCCGGAAATATTTTTGTAATATTCTATGTGGTCTAAATTATTCTCTAAAATTTTTCGTGAATTTTCGAAGCTCAATAACTAGTTTTAATTCCCCAAATTTCATTTAACCTACTAAAATAAATGAAAAATAAATTAAAATCCCTCTCTCTATCCTTGGGCCTTTTTCGGCCCATGTGTCACTCTATCCCTCCCTCAGCCCACAGTCTCTCTCTCCCTCCTCGGGCCGGCTTCACCTTCCCCTCCTCCCACTTTGGGCCACCGGCCCAGCCCTTTTGCTCCTCCCTCGCTGAGAAATCTATTTTGCCTCCCTCCTCGCAATTCAAATAATTTTTCAGGTAGTAAATGATTTTTAATGAAAAAGTTGTGAACAACAAAGTTGTATAACTTATCAGGATCTACAACTTTTGTTTTGGTCATTTTGCTATATGACTTTGTTTCAATAATTTGAATTTGAATTTCAAATTATGACAACTTCAAACAATATTTTCAAATACTAAATGATTTCAACTCAAAAAGTCATCAACAACAAAGTTGTATGACTCACAATATCTACAACTTTTGTTTTGGCCATTTTGCTATATGACTTTGTTTCAATAATTTGAATTTGAATTTCAAATTATGACAACTTCAAACAACATAACATTGTTCACAAAATTTACATCTGGTTTTATGTAAATTTTGTGAACAATGTTACTATCACTTTGTCGGATGAAGAAACAACCAAAAAAAAAGTTATAGATATTGATGGGTTATACAACTTTGTTGTTGATGACATTTTTAGTTGAAATCATTTAGTATTTGAAAATATTGTTTGAAGTTGTCATGATTTGAAATTCAAATTCGAATTATTTAAAACAAAGTCATATCAAAATGACCAAAACAAAAGTTGTAGATATTGATGAGTTATACAACTTTGTTGTTGATGACTTTTTTAGTTGAAATCATTTAGTATTTGAAAATGTTGTTTGAAGTTATCAAAATTTGAAATTCAAATTCAAATTATTGAAACAAAGTCATATAGCAAAATGACCAAAACAAAAGTTGTAGATCTTGATATGTTATTCAACTTTGTTGTTGACATTTTTTTCATTTGAAATCATTTACTACCCGAAAAATTATTTGAATTTCTTGTATTTTAAAATTCAAATTTTATATAGATCAATCAAACTCAGATAGAGAAATAACCAAAATAAAAGTTGTAGATCTCAATAAGTTATACAACTTTTCCACATAAGTTAATTTAGTATGATAAAATTCGATTCGAAGTTTTAATATTTTGAAATTTCCAGGTTAAATGACCATTTTGTGCAAGTAACTTGTATAATAGGTTTCCAGATAGCAAGGTTATTCTGGTAAAATCGCATCAAAATTGGTACTTCCCTCAACCCTAGCCGATTCCAAATCTGAGTCCAGATCTCGTTCCTCTTCTTTCCCCAAACCAGCGCCTCTCCTCCTCCTCTTCCCGCACCGCCGCCTGATTCGACGAGACCCCCGCCTCGTCCTTCCTCTTGTTCGCCGACGACGGCGCTGTCGCTGGGGTTAGGGGCCATGGCGCGTCGCGGTTCCCCTCTCCTCTTCTCTCACCTCGCCTCCCATGGCGGCCGCGCTCCTCCGCCGCACGCTCCACCTCCACCTCCGCCGCGTGCTCCCCTCCCCTCCCCGCACCGGCGCCCTCCTCCTCCATCGCCGCTCGCCGTGCCGTCTTACTCCCACCTAACCGCTTACCGCGCTGGCCTCCGTCTCCGCTACCGCCACGCTCGGGAGCGGCGGTTCTGCCGCCGACGGCACTCCTGGGCCTAGGGCAGCCAGATCACGTGGCGGTAGTCCCCGGGCGTCTCGACGATGGCGTGTGGCTGCATGATGCATTGACAGCTTGTAGCGGCAGCCCCGGGGCGCTTTGATTGCCTGATTTTTCCGAGCTGTTGCACGATCAGCTTGGAAGTGGATTCGTCACCGCCTCTCCATTTCCCCACCACGTGCATGGCCAAATGATTGCTTGAGCCTAGCACGGGATTTGGACGGAATGGCTTAACGAACATTGTGTTGGGCTAGCTAGTTGGGTATGGGGGTGGGTAAGTTATGTCTGCCAGGGTAAAAAAGTCCTTTTGCATTTTGTAAATATTTTTTTCCTTTTATGTTATCTCACAAATCTGAAGTCCACCTTACTGTCATCCAGAACAAGGGCATACTGAAGCCTCGTTTGAAAAAAGTAAGTTCAAATATGCAACCTAAAGAAATCAGAAAAAAATCATAACTGCAACATAAATAGGAGTAAGAACACAATTGTCTTTTACTTTACGTTGGTTAGTTTATTTTTTTTAACTAACTAACTTTATTATATAAGAAGATGGAGGAAGTAAAGTGTTAGAATTTCCTTTCAGACGTGGCATATTAGCACGCAAATGTCGAATTGAAAAATTATATTTGGTATGGCTGAATATTGTACCTTTTGATTTCTTTGGAGCTGCATGTTTTACAACTTCGTAAGAAAAAAGCAGTTCATATATGATCTTAATCTGTTTCCCCTGAATCACTGGAAGTGTATTTCCTCTTATATGTGTGTATGCTTTATTCGCTTCACTCTGTTTTGCAGGACTGAAAGAGTAGTTGTATACATTACAAACAACTTATTTCATACTTAAAAAGTCAAATGTTTGAATACACTATATGCATTCTAGACCAAGAATTATTGAGTAATAGACATTACAAGCAACTTATTTCGACCTAGTTATAATTTGCAGGAGAGCTACGCGGGCAATAAACACCTGCGCAGGCTGCTTAACACAGTACACAATTCAGGTTTTGTTTGTGGTCACAGTGTTCCCGAATCAGATGGAGGAAGTGTCACTTGCAGGGGATCAAGAATCACCGCATTTGCCGAGGCCATCATCCCCTCTGCCGTGAAATACCTATCCTTTTCCATGTAGACAAAGTGTAAAACCTTGCTCATGAGCCAGAAGAGCTTCCTGCACGGCGGAGGAACAACACCCGCATCCCTAGTCACCAGCCTTAGGAGCTCAAACCTACAGCCCTGGAGGACCCTCCTCATCTCTCTCTTGGCCTCCTCCATCGATGCCTCCGGTGAGCCGCGGCCTCCGCCGCTGTGGGAAAGAGCATGCAACATGACGCTATTGACCTTCCCCATTTTGATTTCCTTCTCGTATGTCTGCATGTCATTGAGAAGGCGACCGATAGTGTTCGCAAGGTTCATTAGGTGGATGTACTCCTCGCTCCTGAAAACCTCTTCCGAGAGCTCTGGTCCGACGAACAATGCCGCCGAGGTGATGATGGGGCCTACAGCAAAGGAGTCCACGGCAGCTGACATGTACTCCTCCACTGTTGTTGGCACATACTTGTCCATCCTCCATTCGGCCTCGGTCAACATGCCCCTCACCGTGAACCACCACTGCAAATAGATTATATATTATATCGTGGAAAACTAAAACCTAGAAGCCTTAAAAGTGGAAACTCACACACGTAGAAGAGATAGGTTTACCGATTCGGCGATATGATCCACGGCATTGCGTTTCTGCAGCGGCATGGCCTTTTCCGCAATCTGCTTGCTCGTGTTGTAAACAGCATAGAATAGAATCTCTACACACTCGGAGGAGAAGCCAATCTCACCATGGTCGTCCCACCTGTACAGCACGATATATATTATCACAACAGGACTGATAGATATTAGTTGTACAAAAGACATAGTGTACAGGTGTGTTGTACTTCTCTATTAATTTGACCAAGTTCTCCATTTCTTCTTTTGATCCTTCACCGTCAAAGAAGTCATCGACTGTGGTCGTCAAGATGCAGTTCTGGGTCCATGCAATGCGGGCTGATTCAGAAGGCAACAGGACGGCAGCAGCACTGAAATAGGTTATCGATGGCATTAATCTTGCAAATTTCAGCTCATCCAATCTGGTATGTGCCACCCAACTGTCATATGCTCAATATTAGTGAATGATATCAAAAACATCTTATTGGAATGGATGAATCGAGGATAGGTATATATGATCATATATAGATAGATTTCGCACCTATTGAGGTCTTGGAGTTCTTGTTGGTAGACAGATTGAGAGGAATGGAATTCGTCAACAGCCAAAGCCAGAATTTCATCATTTGGAATAACGCCACTGATCCATGTTATAATAGGTTCACGATTTAGACAACTACAACAGTAAAGAAATAAATTGTACGGCTGTGATGTGTAACAATGATATCTACCGGTATCCTGATTTCAGCAGCTTGAAGCCCTCGATTTTTAGTTGTTCCTTGGTCTTGAATTGTTCTATGTTCCTCTTCTGCTCTAGCCTTTCCAAGATGGCATAGACTGGGCATTTCAAGGCATACTCCACCTGCGAAAGCGAAAGTATGATAATGGCATTATGAGAAAGATTCGCCTTCTTTTGCATGGCTGCGATGTTTTTTTGCAAGAACATTTGTTCGCTAAGATGTTATTTAGTAGGCAAATTTTTCTACAGAACACCCAAAGTATTTGTAATTTGTTGATATAAACATCATAAAAACATGTCATGGTTGGAAAACACTCTAAAAAATTGGTAATTTGGCAGAGGACATTTTTAGCCTAATTGGATAGATAAATTCTTCAAATAAACGAGAATGCCCCAATGGTCACAGACTTGTAACATGGATGTTGGAGAGAAAATTTAGAAAAATGTGACTCTAAATTTGCCATCACCCCAAATACATTAATACTAGCAAGCAGTATTTTATATCTTTACTCTTGCTCTCTTTAGTTGGTCTGAAAATATCCTCTAGCAAATTACTAGCTTTTTTAGGGTTTCCTTCAACCGTGACACATTTTTACAATGATCTCCAGCAAATTACATAAACTTTAAGTGTAGTCTAGCAAAATTTGCCTATTTAGTACTTGCCTCCGGTAATTCTGATATGTGTATCATTTTGGAAGATATTTTTTCCAGTAGTACTCTTGCTGACCAAGAACCAATTTCTTCTAGAATCAAATCATCTTCCAAGCAACGAAGTTGTGAACTTTTGTACAACTCAAGCAAAGCCTTAGTATCATTTAGATATCCATGAATTGAATCATCAAAGCTGGATTGTTCCACAAATTGAGCCATTCCATCTGCTCAATAGTTCCGAAATGATTATTAATATTTCCAATTGAAATTTTGTACTGCAAAACCGAGCAAAAGCTAGGACATTCAAATTTAAGTGTCCTGAAGCTCCATGCAGTACCTGAGGTGATGTCATAACCATGCATACGTAATAGGCGAAATGCCATTGCACATGTTCTCATGTCCAACATTAGCTCCTCCTCATTATGCATCCATAACCTGCAAACATAATACAATAGAAATAAAGTAGTAGGTACAAAGGCACATCAAATTGCCATCATTAGCCTCTCCTATATCTTTTTAATTAGGTATTTTTTTATGAGTTGCTGTTACCTGTATGTCATGTCCAATATATCACTTATTTCACAAGCAAAACTCTCAGAGATACCCATCCTTTCAAGAGTATCCACCATGCAAAGTTGTGAATAAGCATTTTGCGGATACATCACCGGGACTGGAAAACACCCATTTCCAGTTAGTATATTTGACATCTCATATTTCTAGTTGACATTCTTGGTCACTTGCTTGGGCAAAATACATATAGTACCCGGGGGGAGGGGGGGGGCACACCTGGGCCACCAAACTTGCTTGTAACAAAATCCAAGTAAGCGAGGCCGCTATAGTTGTGGCCATGGATTATTGTAGCAGCAGTTGCAGAAGGCGAGTTGAAAATCGATCCATTCTTCCTTTGATACGCCATTACCTGATTCCAGTCTTGTAGGTTGCCTAACCCTTCAGACACATATGCCATGAAGGCTCTTCTTGATGAAGCTGTACCATAAGCATCCCTGACCATGGAGATCATCAAATGATAACATTGAAAATTCTAAATAAAGGCCCCGTTTGGCACAGCTCTAGCTTACCTAGAGCCGGAGCTGTGCCAAACGGTCCAGATCTTCCGTTTTCTGGAGCGGAGTTAGCAGAACTATTCCTAGAAAATGAACTACGGGGGTGGAGCTAGGTTTTTGCTGCTCCACAGCTCCACTCCACCCCAAAAGACCCACTACCCTTTAAGTTTTTAGTCTATTTACATGAAAATGCTACTCAACTACCCCTCCACACCTCCTCTCATCCTCACATCTTCTTCCTGATGGGCGTCTGTGGTGACGGCAGCGGGTAGCGGCGGGAAGCGGCGGGCGACGGCAACATCTGTGTCGGCGAGCGGGGCGGCAGCGTCGACGGCAGTGGGCGACAACGGCGGCGGGAAGCGGCGAGTGATGGCAGCATCTTTGTCAGCGGGCGGCGGCGGCATCGTCGGCGTCTGCGGGAAGCGGTGGGCGACAGCGGCGTCTGGTGGCGACGGGCGACGGCGCCCGAGACGACGACGGGCGGCGCGCCTGGGACAGCGAACGGCCGGCGGCTTGTTTTCTTTATTTTTAGTTTTTTTTCTTTTTTATCTTCAGATCTGGAGCTGAAACCTAGCCAAACTCTAACAGAAGCTAGCTCTCACTGAAATTGTAGTTTAGAGCTAGGAGTTGGAGTTTGGAGCCCTATCAAATGGGGCCAAAATATAAGGACTTCTTAAGGAGCTCCAAGTATATTTGAACAGTTCATTGGTGTTTGATCCAATGGGTGATATAATCTAGAGATAATATAAGAAATGCTATTGACAAGCGTCCAAATCCAAGAAATGCTACCCGATAAGTGTGAGTTCCAAGAAATGTCTTCGTACAAATGACTTTGTCCTAAACATGCCATCATCGTTAGGGTTCCGTCCATTCCGCGCCGTAAGAACACTGTCAATTCCTAACAGTGATAGCATTTTTGGGACAAAATAATTTGTACGATAGCATTTCTTTGAACTTACACTTGTCGATGACATTTTTTGGATTTGGACGCTTGTCAATGGCATTTCTTGGATTATCTCTATAATCTATTACCTTGTTAGAGGTAAAACCTCATAGTAAGGAAAGAAAACATCTTATTGCAAGTGCCATTAACAACAAACCTAACCTGTTAATAAGGGAAGTATAATAAGTAAGTATACTCCATCCCAAAATATAAATACTTTTAGAGTTCGAAATTACTCCCGGAATACAAAGGCTTAGAACATCTCCTGCCGATTGTCAATAAGAATCTTCGGTACTAAAAGAAACTGTCATTATTTGGGTTTTGGGTGCTCCAACTTGATCCAACATCCCTAATGGATGAACCAATCCCACCCTATCCTCCCACCACCGCCTCCGCCCTACCGTCTCGGCATCCCGACAACTTCCCTGCCCTCCATCGCCTGTCCCCGAGTGTCGCCGTTCCCATCCAGCCATCCTCCCACCACCAGCTCTGGGCCAGCCTCTCATTGTGCGGAGATCAACCTCTCACTGCTTATTGCTGCCCCACCAGGACTGCCTCATGCTCTAGCGGGCATCCCTGATGCACAGCGCCCTATTCCTAACCTCTCCCATCGCTCATTCATGGCATCCTACTGCCATCCAAGAGTGTCGCCCGTCCCTGACCTTGTTCTTTGTGGTGAGCCCTTTGTTCTCAGGTCAATAGCGGTGAACTTTTCGTCCCGGTCACGCTTCATGGTGCAGAGGCCCTCGATCTTGGGTTGGTGGTTGTGCCAGTGTAGAACTTGCTGGGGTTTATGGAAGCTGTGATAGTGACCTCGTCCTCTGCGGCACTGCCATTGGACAAGGTCTACTATAGGCTACAACGGCTTAGGTGGTGTTTGGATCCAGGGACTTAACTTTAGTCCCTATATTTAGAAACTAATTTATAGTATTAAATATAGACTACTTATAAAACTAATTACATAAATGAAAGCTAATTCACGAGATAATTTTTTTAAGCCTAATTAATCCATAATTAGAGAACGTTTACTGTAGCATCACATAGGCTAATCATGGATTAATTAGGCTCAATAGATTCGTCTCGCGAATTAGTCCAAGATTATGGATGGGTTTTATTAATAGTCTACGTTTAATATTTATAATTAATTTCTAAATATCCGATGTGATAGGGACTTAAAAGTTTTAGTCCCATCTATACAGGGCCTAAGTGTGATGCTCATAGGCCCTCATGAATTATACACGTGCAAGCATTGTTTGGATAAATTAATTGAGGTTTTCAGAACATTTGGTCCCTGTAGATGTCTTTGCATGACAAATTTGTATTTTAGAGATGAAATAACATTAAACCACATGTAGGACTATGTTGTAATATCAAACTACATGAGGGAAGTAGTGTAAAAATATAAATGTGTAGGACTATTTTGTAATATTCATTGCTACGACCATTGCATTAATAGTATAATATAGATATGATGTTGTAAACTTTTTAACATGAAGATGTCCATTCGTCATATTAAAATTATCATGCAAATATTTTTTTTGCGGGGAAAAAAATATTTGCACAAAAATTTTAATATGACGAATGGACATCTTCATGTAAAATATGTAAAAATATATGTCATCCTTGAAGTATATTTATTGATAAAATAAATCACAACAAAATAAATTATACTTTAATTCATAGTTTTTAAGAATGCGAAAAAATGAAATAAAAAATATTCCAAAATGATGCTTCCATATTTTCTTCACTTTAAATATCAAATGTTAGCAAACTCTGTTGAAACTCGTATTCAACCCATCCCCTATCCATTAGGGATCTCTAATCTTGGCTCTGATCCTCCCTAAATATGTGGAGTTCCATTGCACTTCCTATCCCCATTCTTCTTCTTCTTGTTGTTTTTTGCATGAAATTTTAAATTTTGTAGGATATCAACAAAATACTAAAGGTGAGTCAGATGTATGCTTAAGATAGGTTAGGGAATAAAAAAATAGAGAGGGTGGGAGGGGGTGGATTAAAGGGACTCTGAATACAAATATACAGGAGGGGAATTCAATGATGTTATACATAAAAAGAAAATAAAAGTATTCTATAATCGCTTTATTTAATCTGTACCAAGCAGGTTTGCTTTACTGCCGGTTATTACCATGATAATCAGGCTTACCACTAGGGTGCGGTAGTGTTTAAGGTCTAGTAAGCCAGCTAATATAACTTCAAAAAAATTAAACAAAACCTTCAAGTTATGGTAAATTTCTAGTTTTTATCGGTTTACGGTGGTTCCCATAACTAGGCTTTCCACCATGAAGAGATTAGCCCTCCCAAACGGTAAAATGAATCGGAGGGAGTATTTTAAACGCATGAGAATTTTGCCTCTATCTTCTATTATATACTAAAAGTCCATTAAACTTCCTATAAACACTCCTAATCCGCCACGTGGCACTCCTACAAACGCTCATATGCTGCCATGTGGCGCTCTAACAAAATAAAAAAATTGTTAGAAATTCTAAAAAAAAAGATTTAGTTAGATCTATCTTCGAAAAAAGTAGTCCGAAACCTTCCTCTCTGTTCGGTGTGCGCACGCATGTTAGCCATCCCTCCCTCCCTTCTGTTGATTTTTTCTCTCTCCTATGGTAGTTAAGTTAGTTAAGGTAAAAGACATCCAATGTTTTTATGGCCATGCATTCATATTAATTTATTGGTTTCGGTAGTTCTATAAATAGATAAACAATCTTTTAAATAGTTGTAACTTTTAAATTATATTTCAATTTATGACCTATTTGTACCATTGTATTTTTTAATTAAATCAATAATTAAGATCCAAATAGACTATGATGTAACGCTACAAAATTATTACTGCTGAACTCACATTCATCTTGAGGCCTCTAAGAAAATAAAATCAAAATATGCCACCCTAATTTTTTACTCATACACTGTTAGATATCTAACAACTTTGTGCAGACTTAAGTAACTTCTGTCAACATCTACATGAATTGGTCGATAAATAAGATGATCGATCATAGCATCTAATTTATAGATATGATCTAATAAATTAAGAAATTCGACCATCAATTTTCATTAAATCAGTGGACCCATTGTTTTAGCCTGTTAGACCTATTTTATCAAAACAAAAAGAACACATTCAGATCAATTTTTATCTAAGTCGGTGGACCCATTAATTGCTTTATATCATTAGATCTCTGTAAAATAACCACATCCGGAACCTCCACGTCCAGTGCGAACATACGTACGTAAATCAAAATTATCTTTACAGGTTAAAAGAACACACAATAGACCTCCACGTACTAGGTCTAGCGGCTCTCAAACTGTCACTTAGAATATCCTAAGGTGCTATTAAATTAGAGAAAATACTATTAAATTAGGGAAAATAATAGAAAAACAGACAAAGAAAAGAAAGCATCTGAATATAGGTTTCTATTTAAATTAATGGGTACATTGTTTCTGGTTGCAGAATTTTTTCATAAAAAACATCTCAAACCTCTCTCCTCCCTACCCTCCCTGTGCGGTGTTAATGCCCATTAACATCGCATAAACGCTTCTAAGCCATTACACGACATTCTTAAATTAGAGAAAATCATAGGAATTTTGAAAAAAAGACACATCTAACCATTGGTTTTGACTTAAATCATTGGACACATTATTTTGAATCGATTGACACACTATTTTTGGTCATTGGATCTATTTTTATAAAAGAAACACCCCAAACATCCTTCCCTCCCTCCCGCTCCTTTGCGGCATGCGGTGCTAAAAGTCTATTATACATCTTATAAACACTCTTTAAGCTGTTACATTGCTCTTTTAAGTGAGACAATATCCTCCAAATTCTGACAAGAAAAGAAAACTTCCAACCATCGATTTCGACTTAAACATATGACAAATCATTTAGGTCGTTAGATTAATCATTTAGAAAAACATGCCAAACCTTCCTCCCTCCCTGCCCGTGTGTGGCATGCACCATTCCTTTACTCTCTGTTTTTTTATCTCCCTGACAATTAAAATTGAAATTATCTATATGTCAAAGAAAAACCACAAATGGATCTCCACCTATTACTTATATCCTGTTAGACATCTAACGACTTTCTACCAACTTAATTAATTTCTCTTAACATTGTCCATGTTTTTCTTTTTGGTAAAACTTGCTATAGTACATTGTAAATTCTTGACATTTAACGTAGAACAATCTAGAAATTTCTATTTGTTATAAGAGACTTCAGTTTAGTGAGAATTCACTAAAAATACTATGAATCTATGATCATTACTTCAATACACGAGAGAAAATTTAAACATATGCCTTTACCCTGTGCAAGGTTATATGCACTTCTATTTTCATCCCAATTTGCAAGATCAAAGCATATCAAGGATGATTCATAAAACATAAATCTCAAAAAAAAATGGACATGAAATAAATTGAAAAAATGTTGTTGGATTTAAAACTCATTCTAAATAGAAAAATTCAAACATTTTAGGAGGATTGTTAGAATGAAAATAGATATAAAAATTAACTACAGTAATAAATGACATTATTGGACTATTTTGGGGGGTGTGGGCGGGAGGGGGTGCAAGATATCTTTCAGGGCAGTCAAAAAATATAAAAAAATTTCTCATGGGAACCACATACATTGTTTCGACACAACTGCACGATCTCAAGTAATTTTATTTTAGAATTTATATGTAGCGATGGTGCCAACGTTCAAAGCAAAATAAGTAAATTTAATTTAGTTTAGAATATAATAAAAGCATTATTATTAAAAGTCACCCATACATAAATATTCATAAGAAAATTTCACCACATTAAGTAAGGTGCCCGCGCATGTGCGCGGGCTACCTTCCTAGTTCTATTAAAGGTAGCAGATTGAGCTATCTTCATCGAACTCTAGTGTACCAAATTAGTTCATAAGCTAATGAGAAAGGGTAGAAAAGTATTTCTACTTGAACACGCCCTACATGCCTCGCTGTGTCACCGCCAATATTAGTTGACACGTAAATACAAAGCTAAAAATAACAAATAAATACAAATATTCACACTTGGATTTTGCAATGGACTAACCTTTCCAATTCGATCTTCCGAATGTGAATAATCCCATCAATATCCGTTTGCATAACAGGCAATTCCAAACCCGTTCTAGTGGCAAGGCTAAGCAAGCCAGAAAAGGTAATGTTGAAACCCACAGGAGCAACAGTTTGCTCATCCATGGCAACTGAGAAATTTCTTCCAATAAAATTCAGTCCTGCCAAAACCATTTTTCGTAGCTATATAAGAAGGTTTCACCCTACAGTACAAAGATCTAGACAAGGTTAAAACAACACCCTCATGAATGCAATTATTGATTTTGTACCTCTGCTGATGTGATCTCGGCCAGTATTCCATCTTTTCAGTGCAACAACACATGCCAATGTACACAAAAGAATGTCTTTGTTGACTACCAAACCTGGCAGGTTTGTACCCCAAGATCCATCATCATATTGGTTTTGCAGTATCCACTCAATAGATTGCGGAAAGCGTGGAGTTTGATGAGAGCCCTGCACTGGCACCATGGCCACCCATGCAGTGTCGTATGAAGATGGTTGTAATTGGACATCCCTAAGCTGCTTCCTTATCTTGTCATGCAGTTCATTCTTATGCTGCATATCCCATCGGAATAATAAACTCAACCATGGATATGTTTCACAAAGCAATGCATGAGGTTTAGTTATAATACTCAGCTGCGACATGGTATGAGCACGCTGCTGTTTGATCTACCCTAAATCTGTTGATAGTCACAACTAATCGAGTCTGGTTTTTTAAAGCTTTAATAGGATGCAGTCGTTGGTGCCTTGGTGGCCAACGTTTATCTATCCCTTGTTAAAGGTGTTGTATTGAAATTGTTGTGGTGAAAACCTAACTTTTTGATAGGACAATATTGGTAAACATATATATGATGTTTTCTTTGGGAGGGTACTATCGCAGTCTCTTGGAGAGTGCCTCATTTGCATAGATGGCCTTCATGTATTCTTTTTTCATATATCTTTCAAAATGCATTTTCATCTTTTGTCATGTTGTTGTGGTTTTTCTACTAATTTTGGCAGTATTTTGGTTGTGCACATCTCTGGCTAATCACTAGTCAGTACGGAGGCCAAGAGTTTCTTTTAATGAATTACTCTATAATAAAAAAAGGAATTGCTAAAAAACTGTCGCAAGATTTTTAGGCAAAAAAAAAACATTCAATTGCAACTATAGTATAGTTGTAGTATAACTACAATGTGATTACATTATAGTAACATTGTAACTACAGTGTAGTTACACTGTAACTACATTATAATCTCTATATAAGTTAGATATAAAGTTGCATATATTATTTTAATACTGACATACAAGTTATATTATAGTTATAGTGGAATTATATTACAATTATACTATAGTTAGATTTGAAAGTTTTTCCCTTAAAAAACTTGCGGTGGTTTTTTAGATACTCCCTAAAAAAATGGGCCATGTACCATGCCTTGCTGGCTTCCCGCATTCCTCCCTAATCCCAGGCTCTTCTCAACACCTGCTGCTCCTGGGGAAAGCAAAGGAAATGTGTGAGATATCTCTTTGCAATAGAAAGGATTGTGATAGACAATAAAATTTATCTGTCTAGTATAACAGCTTCGACAACTGTACTCTCAAATACTTCCTCCGTTTTATATTATAAGTCATTTGACTTTTTTCCTAGTCAAATTTCTTTTAAGTTTAACCAAATTTATAGAAAAATATAGTAGTATTTTCAACCCAAAACAAATACATTATACAAAATATATTAATTTTTATTAGATTTAATAGAACTAACTTAATATTTTAGATGTTGCTAAATTTTTCAATAAACTTGGTCAAACTTAATAAAGTTTGACTAGAAAAAAAATCAAGCGACTTATAATATAAAACTTATTATAAACGGAGGGAGTAGCAAAGAGGTATACCATATATTAAGAGATCTTTTGTAGCACTTGGGAGGTACCTCATACCTCTTATACTGACACGAATACGAGGCGCTCTGCTGAACTGCTTTGGTATTATCCCATGAGGTGAAGCTCCGGGGAATTGTCCTCCTGAGCATGCTGAACTCATAGGAAGCATCATTCACGACTGCCCTGTAAAGATACTACACAGCATGGTTTTGAGTTACATGCAACATGGGTTTATATATGTTGAAAAAATAATAATAAGATAAGACCAAGTCACCACAATATTCAGCTATCTATATTACTCCCTCTCATCATTGCTCCGGTTTACCATCTCAACTATTACAAAAGTACAATTGGCCCCCTCAAGTCCTCAACTATGAAAGCAAACAAAATAGACCACTCATCTATTTAATTCGAACACTTAAACCGCTCGTACCCTCTTTTATGTGGTTTAGGACTGAGCTATCTTGATATATCAAATCTTGCAAACTAAACTTTATGTGGACTTCATTTCTTACATGTGCCATTTCTAAGCCTACGGGACAGATGATGGGTTATTCTATTCGTATGAAATATTAACAGTGTACTTGTGCTATTCTACTCCCTCCATCCCACAAAGACTCCATTTTTCAGTTTTTGGATGCAACGTTTGACTCTTCATCTTATTCAAAAAGTTTCTATAATTTATATTTTTATTTTTATTAGATGATAAATTATGAATATTTTATGCGTGACTACTTTTAAATTTGTTTTTTTATAAATTTTTCAAATAAGATGGACGGTCAAATGTTGGACACATGACCCAAAAATGAAGCCTTTGTGGAACCAAGGGGGTATCTTCCAAGTAATATAAGTTGATTTGATTGTGCAATGAAGTCTGTGCAAAGAAATAGAATAAAGGACGAGAAACAAGTAATATAAGTCTTAATAGCAAAAGGTTGACACTATGTCAGACGAGGTTGTTTCCTGTATGAGCAGTGGCGGAGCTGTCGGGGGCGCCGGAGGGGGTCAAACCCCCCCCCCCCCCCCCCCAAGCCCCTGTTGCTGTATGATTCTATGGGCAAGGCCAGGCAGTTAGCAAGTCTAGAAAACATTAGCCCATTAACAAAAAAACAGGTTCTACAAAATTGATTAATGACAGAGATCAGAGAAGTAACACAGATAAATGCCACTTTGTTTTCATACGTCCATAGTTTATATGGAAATGATTTAGAAATAAAGACTAGTTCCAAATTAAGAGCTGAAATTCAAGTTTTTTTAATAAAAACCCTACTTTACGTATTGATTATTATCAGCGGTGACTATTTGGCCTCTTTTACTATTAATATTGATCTTCGCCACTGTGTATGAGAACACAAACGGTAGTGTTAGAAGCAAAGTGTAGAGCACTAAAAGGACACAGATGTTTAAAGGGGGTCGTCTGTTTATAGATTCATCGGAGAAAGAAACCCACCTTGTACAGACGAGAGGCAGGACGTACGCTGGAGAAGCAAAACGTAGCAGACCAAGGGGGGCAGGAGGAAGAGATTCCAAGAGGGAAGAACTAGCAGCTTATCGTTGATCAGCTTTCTGCCTGCATCAAATTAAGAGGGCAACACGCATGGAACTAGCGAGTGTGTTCACCTTCCTTATATGTTGCTCCCCGGTGAGTAAAGGGAAGCAACCACTGTAAACCAGAGAGGCGGCTGAGATCGAGAGCCTGATCAGGCAGACCGGCATCCCCCCGTTTGTATTAATGCAAAACAGTACTGTGAAGGGTTTGTGGCATCACATCATGATTAAGTAACACGGGACCCTACTTTTGACAAGTTGTTAATCTGGTGAGATGGTTCCTTTGCTATATATCATAACAAAATAAAGACTACAAGTCCAAAGTCAACGCAAAAAAAAAATCAGTAAATTACACTGACAGTACATAAGTCCTAAAATTTTGAAATTACACCCAAATTTTGTTAAATGTATCGTCGTATATCCAAAAGTTTATACAGCCCTTCAACTGCTGATGTCCCCTACGGCCCTTCAGAGTTTCAGTGAATCAAGCATATATGCTTCCGATTTATACAGTGGTTTTGTCCTGAGCCCTTTGATATCTAGAAAGATTAATTGCTCAAAAAACAGTTCCCCACCCCCCTTGTGCTCAACTAGTACAAAAATTACATGAAAGTTCCTTTTATAAAAACATCGCTCGCTCAAAGTTCCAGTTGTGTTTATAAGGCCTTATTTAGTTGGGGAAAAATTTTAGGTTTGGTTATCACACCGGATATACAAACACACATTTAAGGTATTAAACATAGTCTAATGATAAAACAAATTACAAATTCCGCCAGAAAACTGCGAGACAAATTTATTAAGCCTAATTAATTAATCAGTCATTAGCAAATATTTACTGTAGCACCACATTGTTAAATCATGGCGCAATTAGGCTTAAAAGATTCGTCTCGCAATTTACACGCAAACTGTGTTAGTTTTTTTTTCCACATTTAATACTCCATGCATGTGTCCAAACATTCGATGGAATAGGTGAAAAGTTTTTGTTTTGGGAACTAAACAAGGTCTAAGCGTGCGTACAGGGTAGCGGGAGAATTTATCTGTCCGGTCTTGTATATTACTCCCTCCGTTTCTAAATATTTGACACCGTTAATTTTTTAGCACATGTTTGACCGTTCATTTTATTAAAAATTTTTGTGAAATATGTAAAACTATACGTATACATATAAGTATATTTAACAATAAATCAAATGACTGGAAAAAAATTAATAACTACTTAACTTTTTTAATAAGACGAACGATCAAACATATTTAATAACATTAACAGCGTCTACTATCATTTTAATTGTCTGTGTCTGTATGTTGTCTGTTTCGTTCAAATTTGACCTGCCACATGCAGGTGCAGCTAAGAGTGTGGCTGATATATAAACATAGCTCTTCAGTCAGACATGCCCAAAATACAATTGATTAAACTTGCTGTCATATATATAAACGAAAACGATATACTTGTGATGTATTTATGGATGTAACTTGAACGGAACCTGTACATCCAACCGTAAGAGTTTCCGTGGTTGACGGAGCAGACGATCGAGGACGGCAACCAGGCGCGGGTGGCGGTAGAAAGACGATGCTCATCAGTCCTGTGTCCATACGCTATTATGATGGAGCAGGGCTAGGTTCCAAATTAATCCCGATCGTCTGTTGGTGTAGATCAGACGGCTCAGAATTGGTAGTACTGAGCAGTACCATGTCGCTAGCGAGGTGGTACCGGCAAAGGGATCGTGAAGTCGAATAGTAGTATTGTTTTGGGGAGTAAAATGTCAGACACATTTTAGACTAAAAATTATTCAGTTTTTTTTTCCACTACGGTAGTAGTTAGGCTTAACCTATCACAGTGAACCATTAATGTGCACATCAATTTAAAAGGGAGTATCTATCTAAATGTCAGACACATTTTAGACTAAAAATTAGTCAATTTTTTTTCCACTAGTAAGGCTTAACCTATCACTGTGAACCATTAACTTGCATGCACATCAATATAAAAGATGTTGGGTACTCATTCCAATTCTACTTTAGTAATTACACTATAGTTACACCCTACTTACATTATGTAAGTAGGCTGTAAATGTAGTGTAATTAGGGTGTAATTATGACATATACCCTTTAATTTGTTCTGTTTCTTTAATTTGTTCTGTTTGATCTATTCTCTTGATGTAAAAAAAATTGAATTAATTGCATTGGCCATTCTTTGCCTAGTATCATTCGTGGTAGCAAAAACTCAATTAACTTGTGCCATGGGCCAACAGCCATGCCGCCTTGTTCCACTACTGGAGAAACCAGGACTAGAAACCGGTTTAAGCAGTACATGGGGACTCTATGATCTTAAGTCTCGGTTGGTAATCATTTTTAGTCCCGGTTCTATTTGTGTCAGACGATGTCAGGGCGCCGAGGATCTTTAGTCCCGGTTGATATCACCAACCGGGACTAAATATCTCCCTCCCACGTCTTAAATGGATCGAACCAGACACTATCTTCTGCAGCGGAGTCGACGGGAGAAGGGGCGGCGGCCGCCGGGCTGGGGAGGCGATGGCGGCCCGCGGTAGGAGGAGGCGGCGGGCGGCGGGCGGTGTGCAGCGAGCGGGAGGTGGCGGGCGGTGGGCTGCGAGCGGGAGGCGGCGGCCCGCGGCAAGCGGAGGACTTGATTTGGGGATTTCTTTGTGTTTTTAAGAACTTGTGATTCATTGGATCTATGTTGTTTGATCTGTGATGTATTTGTGATGTAATTTTTTTAGAATTTGTGATGTATTTTCTTTTAGCATGTGTGAAAACTGACAATATTAGTTCTTTTAGCTGATTTTGCACCCATTTTAGATCTTCCATCTATATATACAGTTGACGCGTAAATTTAACCATAAACTAAGTTAAATGATTTGTACCCATTTTAGATATTCTCTCTCCATAGATAGTTCAAGTGTAAATTTTGACCATCTACTTGTACTAGTTATTTATTATTGGAAGGATTCAATACTAATGCATACATAGTTTTTCTTGTCATGTCAAACTACTTTCTAATTCAGCTTTCAAGATCCTTATTAATTAACTACAGCTTAGTAAAGCATATAAATGAAGAAAACAAGCTTAGTGTCTCTTTGTCATTTTAGTTCTTCAAGCTAATTAATCAAAAGCACCAATGATAGGATATGTCAATGCTCCAAAACATTTTCTTTTTTTATGTAGAAACCCTTTACAGTCACCTACATTGCTAACTGTAGTCTACCTTATTTAACAGATCATGGCTATAATCTCAAATGCTGATATTTCTATATGGATGAAACCTTTGCTCCATGATTTCAAGGTATCTCATCTATCTATATTTGTTGGTCAAGTGAAAATTTTGACCATCTACTTCTGTTAGTTATTTTATCCTTGGAGGATTGAATAATCAATACTAATGCATACTTTGTTTTTCTCAAAATCTCAAAGTAGTATCTTATTCACCTTGCAAGATCCTCATTAGCAAAATCTTAGTTTTAGCATATAAATGAACAAAATACACTAGTGTCTAGTTGTCATGTAGTTTGTCATACACGAATTAAACTCTACCAATTTATACTGCCAATTGGACTTCATTTTAATTTCCTTTCTCTCCCAAGCTAAACCATTGAGGTAGAATAAAACTTAAATTAATGTTGGAAGACACCTCTACTGTACATGCACACCCCTAATTTAATCCTAGTTGTTGAAGAACAGGAACAGGAATCCCTAATTATTTGTCTTATTCAGCTTGCAAGATTTTTACTAGCTACAACTTAGCACATGTAGCATCAGAATAAGCATGCAATAGTTTTTCACCATAACTTTTGACTTCTTTCTTACCCCTCAGTACTAGTGCATGTGCATCTAGCAATCCTAGTGCTAGCGCGGCTGCTAATGCAACTGCTGATTTATCAAGAGAAACTAATAGAACAACAATGGCAACCCTTTTTGGTGCAGGTCCTGCCGGTGTGGAGGGAACCTGAACCTGGACCTTCGATTTTTTTGGTGCTGCAAGTGTTTTCAGGTGTTTGTTGAACCAAAACTGGGTATGCTTGAATGTTGTGTGATTCTTGAACTTGGACAAGTTGATAGCTTTGTTCTGCTACACAAATTTTTGTTGCTTGCTGTGGAACTATTGTTTGATTCTGGAGCAGAGTATCTGAGACTATATGTTATTAGGTTGAATCTGAGATGAACTATTAATTGTTTGAATTCTGTTGTATTCTGATTGTATCTATTATTAGTTAAACCTGAGATGGTATCTGTTATTAGTTTTGAATCTGAGATGGTATGAGAAATTGGATTGAATTTGCTTGGCTCAAACTTAATGGGCTTGTTTAGTGGGCTTTGATCTGATAGTTTGTTAACAAAATAGGCCAGTTTTGAAATAAGCCTGGTTCTGAAATGGGCCTATTTTAAAATAGGCCAGTTCTGAAAAAAAAATAATGGGCTGCCATTAAAAAATTAATGGGCCGTCAAAATAATAATGGGCCGTTTTAAAAAATAATGGGCCGTTTAAAAATATTTGCTAACATTAGCTGCCATGTTATTAGTGACACGTCATCACACACATGTCAATGACCATGTCACCTGCCATATTGGCTGCCTTGTGGCAACCATCTGTGACGTTTAATTTCATCATAAAGGTTGGGCTTGGGGTGGACTACATGAGTCCAAAAGCGTTTTATGACGGTTAAAAAACGTCATAGATTGTGTTGATCCGTGACAATTTTGGAGAAAACGTCGATAGATTTAATCTATTACGCTCAATAGATGACGATAAGTAGAATCGTCACAGATAAATTTCTGTGACGAATCTTCAGTGATCCATGACGAATTTTTTTATCATAGATTAAATAGATTCTTGTAGTGCCGGTTTGTTTGTTTGTAGGGATTGCTCCAGTTGGAAACTTGTGAATGGAAAGTTGTGACTGTAAATTGAGATGTATTTAAATTGTAATGATTTGTTAACTTTGGAATTTGGGAATAATTTTTGTGGATTTTGGGACCAACGCATGGATTTGGAAATAATTTCTGTGGATTTGGGAAAAACTTCAACATGTGCTGACGGAGGTGGACGGAGCGCCGTCGCTCCATCAAATTTTTTTAGCCATGGCCAGTATATTGATGCAGGTAGATGATACAACGTAGCCGCCTGTGCAAATTCATTTTCGCAGGCAGCTACCTTACGAAAACCACCAGCGCAAATACCATATTATCACTACCCTTTGATCTCTGGTGGTGCCATTAGCCGCTTGTGAAAACCTATTTTGGCTATCATGAAAAATCGTTTTTTATAGTGATAACTCAAACAACAATTAAATAAAGTTGGTGTCAATTGATTTCCAAGTATAAACTTATAACTTTTAAGGATACAAAGGTGGGAACCATGGAGACGCCTGAAACAATGAGGCATGGAGCACTTATGAGGCCTCCTACGTCGTAGTGCGCGCGCGCGCCCACACACACATATATAAGTATAAGGCCGAGTTTAGTTTCAAACTTTTTCTTCAAACTTCCAACTTTTTCATCACATCAATGCTTTCCTACACACACAAACTTCCAACTTTTTCATCATATCGTTCCAATTTCAACCAAACTTTCCTCCACACCCTAACTAGTGTGTGACGCGACTGGCACAGCCTTCAAAGGGGTAGCAAGCACGTTAGCAGTGGCAAACTTCTCAGTCATGTCCATGTCATCAGGCGACATGCCGTCCGGAAGCCGCCACTCGAACGCGTGCAGCAGGGACGCCAGTATGAAGGGCACGGCGCGCTCTGCCAGTGGCAGGCCGGGGCACAACCTCCTGCCGGACCCGAACGGGATGTACTCGTAGTCTTTCCCTCGCAATTCCAGCGGAGGTGATGAGGACTCCTCCTTGTGCAAGAAGCGCTCCGGTAGGAATTGGTCGGGGCTCTCCCACGCCGCCGGGTCGCGCATGATCGCCCACGCGTTGAAGATCACCGTGGTGCCCTTGGGCACGGCGTAGCCACCGATCTCGACGCCGTCCTGCACCGCCAGGTGAGGGACCAGTATCGAGCCCACGGGGTGCAGCCGCATCGCCTCCTTGAACACGCACTGGAGGTACGTGAGGCTCGCCGCGTCGCCCTCGTCGAAGCTCTCCCTGCCGCCGAGCGCGTCCGTCACCTCCGCCCGCACCTTGGCCATCACGCGGGGATTGCGAAGCAGCTCGGCCATCGCCCACTCCACGGTGGTCGTCATCGTGTCGGCGCCAGCCGCAAAGACGTCGAACAGAAGGTACGTGATGTGGTAGCGTGGGATCTTGCCGGCGGAGGCGAGGCTGATGAGCGCGTCCAGGAAGTCGCCGTGCCGCTGCTTGTCAGGGTGGTCACGGGTTTCGGCCATGCGGCGATCGATTATGTCGTCCAACAACCCGAAAACGATGCCAAGATGGCTGCCCGTTTGTCGACGCAAGCCCTGCAGGTCGAGCTGCCGGAGGAAAGGGAAAAAGTCGGACACGTTGGGGCCCGCGACGGTTGCGATGATGTCCTCTATCAGCCCGCGTAGCCCGCGCGCCGACTCCGAGCGCACGTCAGCCATGTCCATGGAGAAGAAGGAGGTGGATATGAGGTTGAGCACGCCGTTGTGCACGACCTCGCGGACACACATCTCCTCCCCGGCGACCGTGCGGATGTAGCCGACGATATCCCGCACCTTGCGCTCGCGGATGCCGCGCAGCGCCGCGAGGGCTCTAGGGGAGAAGATGTGCGTCGCGTGGATGCCCCGCAGGTTCTTCCACTGCGGATCGGAGCTCGGCGAGAACACGATGGACCGCTCGGAGAAGCCGTTCGCGCGGAAGGCGTCCGGGACCGGCCGCGCGGCGAGCCGCTGGTCGTGCTTCGTGTAGGCCTCCCTCGCGGCCTCGGCCGACGACACGACCACGGCCGTGGTGAGGCCTAGCTTCAGCGTCATGACAGGGCCATGGACGCGCGCCAGTTTCGCGAGGGTTTGGTGGAAGATGCCGCCAAGGCAGAGTAGGTTGCCGATGAGCGGGAGTGGCGTTGGCCCCGGCGGCAATGCTAGTGATCTGCCGCCGCTCGCGTGGCGCCGTCTCAGGATGGTGAGGTACAACAAGAGCGACATGCAGGTGGCCACCGCTGTCATCCATAGCTCGCTCTTCAGCTTCTCCATTGGTCGATGACTATTTAATTTCCTGCTGGCTGGTGTACGTTCTTGGTTGCCGCGTTCGTGCCTGCGGGCCTCCGCATTTATACAGGGCATGCAGGAATATATTGTATTAATTAATTTGCAGCTGTTGAATATATTTATTTCCTAGCTTTACTAATTAAAACAAGCATTGTCTTTGTTCTTTCTACCTTACGGGACTAACACACTACTTGAGAAACCATCTTTGCTAGGTTAGACAAAAATCACATTAACCCCGGTTCGAATAGGAACCGGAACTAAAAAGATCTTTAACCCCGGTTCTAAACCGGCACGATACTTTATGAATTTTAGTCATGGTTCAAAAGGTGGTTAGGCCGTATCAGACCCCCTGCTATCTTTAGTCCCGGTTGTTGGACCAAAATTCAAAAGAAAAACTGCAGCCCGCACATCTCCCCTCGTGCTATCTCCTCGGTAACCGGTGCCTCTCCACTCTCTTCTTATCCCTACGCTTCTTATCCCTTCTCATCCCTTAGCGCTTCTTACTAGCGCCCTTCCCCTCTCCTCTCGATTTTCTCTCCTTCCTCTCTTCTTTCTTGGCGTTGGGCACGCGGTGGCAGGCGGCGGCGGACGGTGGTGCGCGGCGGAGCGCCAAAGCCGTGGAGGGCGGGAGCGAGCAGCAGCAGCGGCGGCAGTGACGGCCCACGCGGCGGTGGAGGGAGGTGGCGGCCCCGAGCGGCGACGGCGAGGCGGTGGATGCGGTGGGCAACCGGGAGGAGGTGGCGGTGGGAGGGGAGGAGGCGGGCGCGCCGGGAGGATGTGGCCGGCGGTGGCGCACACGGAGGAGAGGTGGCAAGCAGCGGGCAATCCGGAGGCGACGACTTGACGATGATTTTGGGATGATTTTGGGGATAATTTTGTGATGTAAATTTGTAGGTGATTTTTACATGTTTTTTGAATCTGTGGATGATTTTGGGATGTAAATTTGTGGATGATTTCTAGATGTTTCTATGAAGTTGCAGATGAATATGTGATGTCAATTTGCTGATGATTTTGTCTGTGTGATTGATGTTTTTGTCTGTGTGGTTGAGTTCGGTGCGAAATCAATATGAAAGTAGCAAAAAAAATAAAAAAGAAAAGAAAAGAAAAAAAGAAGAAGAGTTAATTGCATATTGGACCGGCTTTCTTTACCATGGTCGCAGCTTGGACTAGGAACAAGCTATTATTTTCACTTTGGGCTAATAATTTTTACAAAATGTTACACTTAGGACCTAGTGTTCTTCTTCCAACTCTGCTTCCTCACTCTCTCTACCTTCAGTTTGAGATTCACATACCTGGCTAGTTGGTTTTAGTAGAGATAGAGCTCAAGCTCCACCAGTACAGTCATGCTCGAGCTCTACTCAGCCTTCGCTGCCCCTGCCACATTCATTCGTGCTCAAGATTTAATGTGCAGCGTTGATTAAGTGCCCTAGCTCCAATTAAGCTAGTGCTGCCATGGATGAACTTGGGCTAGAATGGGACCTATTGACTAGTTGGTGGAGCAGAAGTGTGGAGTGATAATATATCGTGTTAGAATTTCCCACCGTGCCACCGTGATTCATTGGCTATGTGCTTGAGCTCAAGCTGGAGCTCTGCCGTGTGCCGTGTTGAGCTCAAGACGGAGACTACCACACACTCAAGCTCAGGCGCTGACGTAGGTCAAGCATGTAGATGGAACCTGAGGAAGTGTGGTGAGCTCGAACCAAAACAGGGAAGAGAAGAGAAGAGGGGGAGATCTAGAGGAAGAAGAAGACTGGTTCAATATGAAAATTTTTGCAAAGATTTCTGGTTCAAACTGAAAAGAATGTCCTACCTCTAGTCCAACTTGCAACAATGGTCAATAAAAGTGGCCCAGGATGCAATTTACTCAAAACAAAACGCGTCACGTGACACTTTTATTTTTACACCCGGTGGACTCAAGATGGTTCTTTAGTCCCGGATATTTTAACCGGGACTAAAAATCGTCATCTTTAGTCCCGGATTCTCCCTCCCGGTTCGCTACATGGGAGTAAAGGGGTTGTGAACCGGGAGAGATGTGGGGTTCTCCAGTAGTGACATGACACACGGGAACATCTTGGCTGATAAATTCGCATGTGTGCCCGAGACTTGCGTATGTATGTTTCGGTGTTCGATGTTGATGCATTTCGTGCCGGCTTGATCGATGTTGAGTAAATGGATACGGAATATTAATTATAGTCAAGGGAGGAGTACTACTAGACCACGGTATCCCGCTAAACGGGATAGATTATGATGAGTTAATAACGACTCATTGCCGCCACTAACCACGCCCATGTGTCCTCACGCGTCCGCATCGCTCTCCCAAACCCCTCACGTGTTCGTTGCGCTCCTCCGCATGTCCATGTGCTCGTATTAGTTCCCCATGCAACTTGTGAGTAAAGATCATTTAAAGATAAAGAGATAAATGTGCATGGGTGAAAAAAGTGCTACTAACCCCATGCATGCATGGCAGTGAGTAAGAAAATATCATTATGAGGTTGGATCGTCCAATAGTTTACACGAGGCAGAGCGATTTCTCTCGAGCACTACTATAAAACTCATTTTCGGCGTCGTAGGGGATCGATTTTCATAGGTGGACATGTAATTCGGAGCCAAAACCCCGCCAGCAAAAAAAAGTACCCAGGGTGGAGGGGGCGGTCCGCTTGCGAAGATTGATCTTTGCAAGCGGACCATATAAGTGTCGCCTGCGAAGATCGATCTTCGCAAGCGGCAGACGTCATGCGCCTGTGAAGATCGATCTTCGCAGGCGACGCTTATATGGTCCACCTGCGAAGATCAATCTTCGCAGGCGACGCTTATATGGCCCGCCTGAAAAGATGCTCCTATATAGTCTTCTTCCTCTCCGAGCCCTGTTCATTCTCCCCGAAGTTTCTCTCTCCTAAAGTGACTTAAATATAGGGGGGAGGTTTTGAACTTCAAATCTTCGGGGGATTTTTCTACGGTACTTAGATCTACTCATTTCCACACTAGGTATGCAACTTTTTAAGCTTTTAGACCTTAATTTGTGATGGATTTATGCATGCAAAATTGTGAAGGAAGAGCTCCATGTTTTTTAATTTTATTTCTTTTGATATATTGATGTTAGATGTATGTGTAATACTTGATGCCTCTTATTGTAGTGGTTTAATGTGGTAACATAAATTCTCTTTTTTTTTATTTTTGCTATCACATCCACCTCCTAGTTCTAGATCTAGATCTTGTCATATATAGAGAATAAAATTTTTAATGTCTATTTATTCGGTGTAATAAAAAATAGTTATAGCTTAAGCTTGGGATTTCTCACCCCTATCTTTCTCACTTGTTTGTTTGAGGGCGCTACGTCGACATCCGGACACTTGTGCTAGATGATATTGATGTACACCATATGGAAGTAGTATACGTTTTTTCAAAGTCTTTACGTTGAAAACATTGAAGAAAAATAAACCAGCATGAGGCTGTCGATCGTCTGTTATCAAATCCTCACGGAGCGGACGCGGACGTTCCGACTTTAATTAACGAGAAAGGAAAAAAATTGCGGTCCGTCCGCATCCACGTATCATCCAATTGAATCCCAGAGGCTCTAGTAGGATTGAAGTAATTACCTGATGATAGATCGATCAGTCCGGGGCACATGTAATCCGAGCCAAATGCCGATTTCAATATTGATGGCGTTGTATCTTAATTTTCTCCTTCATGCAGCAGCTAGCGACTAGGAAAAGTAGTTGTGTCATTCTCGGGAGTATCTTCTGGTCTCGAGCATGCGTCTACACAAGGTACACAGGCCAGTTTCTGGTCGGCTCAGCTATCGCTGATAAGAAGTAGTAACAAAATACCTTACTATATTTTGTTACATGCAAAATTTATATGCTATTATCTGCTATTTAAAAGCTAAGGTTCCAAAATAGTCAAAGATAAAAAAAAAACCCAAAGAAAAAGATAACTTTATACTCCCTCCGTTACGAAATGTTTGACACCGTTGACTTTCTAGCACATGTTTGACCGTTCGTCTTATTTAAAAACTTTTGTGAAATATGTAAAATTATATGCCTACATAAAAATATATTTAACAATGAATCAAATGATAGAAAAAGAATTAATAATTACTTATTTTTTTTAAATAAGACGAACGGTCAAACATGTGCTAAAAAGTCAACGGCGTCGAACATTTCGAAACGGAGGGAGTACTTGTTTTCAAATTTTAATTTTACGAAAATGATTCTATACTGTATGCTGGTGTAGGCAAAAAGCACAACCAGCGTGCACGACATTTCTTCTCTCCCAGTCTCTGGTAGCTTTTGGCTATTGCTGGTGTGTGAGTGTGACACGAGCAAATAACCACTGTATCAACGAGACCTAGACCGATCATGCTAATTTCTAGCGGGAAAAGCACGAGGGAGGACAATTAATAGACTTCGTATCATCCAAATTTCCTTGGTGAAGAAAAGAGGCCACTACTTTATTTCAGCTACTTAATTTGTCTTTTTAGGTGGTCATTTCTGCTACTGTACTACTGGAGTACTCCCTCCGTCCCTTAATATAAGCGATTTTGACATTTTGCTTACACAGTTTAACCATTCGTCTTATTATTAAAAAATTTTAGAATTATTATTTATTTTTTTTACTTACTTTATTATCTAAATTACTTTAAGCACAACTTTTTGTTTTTTATATTTGCACAATTTTTTTAATAAGACGAGTGGTCAAACAATGCAATGCAAGTAAAATATCAAAATCCCTTGTATTATGGGACTGAGGGAGTAGTATTTTCACACACGAAGGGGATTGTGCCAACACGCGTCACACTGCTTAAATGATTTTTAGCAAGTTATGCAGACATTTTAAAATAATAATATAGTGATCAGTTTTAAATTTGAGCCCCATTCACAATTGAAGATTAGACAACCGTGAAATGTCAGTTTGGAACTTTGGCTTTGGCTGCTGATGACTTCTGCACCTCTCAATCCAATTACCAGGACGAACTTAAGTAACTTGATAGGTAGGTAATTAATCCGTTCAGACAGTTGTCAAGTTATGCT